CAAGGGCATTAAAAATGCAGAATAAAACACACACACACAAAAAAACCCAACATAACCTAATTTGTGTGTAAGTGTGAATGAGAGAAGGGGAGGGAACTAGGCTTAAACAACAGGCCTACCCCTAAACCCAGGATAACGAACTGCAGTTTCTGATTTTCTATATTCTATATTTTCTTCTATTGGAGTTCCTGATTTCACATAATATGTTATGTCTAGATAAATCAAGATATCCTGCTTCATACAATTTGATAAGACACAGCTGCATTTTCTCTAAAACTTAACCACAAAATACCCAGCCCCATTTTTGCCTAGTTTACCACATTGTACAAAACCGGTATAGTTCTATAAGTTTGTTTAAAATGTACAGTTTCCAAATTCTGATCTGCTCCCCATGCAGAAAAAGCAAAATGTGTGAAATTATTTTCGGACCCATTCTGTAGTTATGGATGATTAGGCCAAGTGGCAATCTAATAGCCAAGGACAGGGGTTTCTTTATAGGAAAATAAAACAGCCGCATGATTCTCTTGGCAAGAGTTTAGTTTTGTATTCTGGTTTCACGACACAGAATCAACCTTTGCCTGAACAGGATTTTGGCCAGATGGGCACTGATCATAAAAAATGAGGAAAAGCATTGGAACTGACAACTTTCAGATTAGTTAGAGCAATGCTTAGAATTAGGAGATGCACGCAGCACCAAGGCTGGATGATATGAAAAAATTCAGCAACTTTCATAGATAGAAGTGGGCAAAGTTCATACTTTGTGGCTCTCACGTTTATTCAAGATTAGTCTGCCAAAACTTGACAGCAAAATCATTAGTTTTCAGTGGTGTATATACACACACACACACACACTTAGATGTATATGAAATAAGACTCAAAATGAGCATATTGAGTCTCTGTGAAGGTCAACACACCCATTTCACCTACTTTAAGCATTCCTTAACTTGTCAAAACTCAGAATAAAGAAATGTATTTTAAAATGGGGCACCTCAAAGTTTCTTCTCCTCTTCTTCTTAAAGAAAATAAAGCAAGTCAAAGAAGACTGATGGAGGTTCCTAAAATGATTCATGCTATAAATAGAATCCAGGTCATCCATGAAATTGATTTGTAGGTAATCCAGATAAAATACATATTTCTGCAGCGGATAACGTGGTGGTGGACAAGTCGGACAACTTTAAAGAGGGGCTGACAAGTTCTTGGAGATGAAGATATCAATGTCTGCTAATCACAGTGTGTGTATATGAACTCCAAGATCTCAACAACATGCTCTGGACAACCATTACTAGGTCATAGCAAAGGAAAAGAACTATTGCCTGTTTTGTCGTTGTGAGATTAGCATTTGGTTGACCACAGCAGGAAACAAAAGATGAACAAATAGAGACTCTAGAGGTCTTATTGTTTTATTATCAACAAACCAGTGTTAGAACTGAGAGTTATCCCCCCTACAGAGCTCTAAGTTCTGACATTTGGGAAGGCCAGGGTTCATAGTTACTCAGTATAGCAGAGGATGGTTGTTTCATAATCCTCTGCATTTTGGAGTTCCAAATTACTGTAGCTAAACCAATTTCCACAGTGGATGCAATGCCTTAGGAATCCCCTGTTTTATTATTATTTCTCCAAATCTTACAAAGAATAACACACCTTCTGTGTTTCCTTCCTCTAGTCTCCCTACTCTACATTAACACATATTACAGGCATAGTCATAAACCACCTGTAATCTCAACAGCCTACCATAATGGGTCTCCTATCAAGTTTCTGGAATCCAGACAGTCACTGTGGGTTGCCCTAAGGGCAGAATATAAAACCTGATGAAAGACTGTTATTAGCCCGTAATATTCAAATTATGTTTCTCCGTAGGAACTTGATTTATTGTTACTGGAAAGTGCTCTGTGTAGAGCTGAAGGCAGTCTAGAGGCTTCAGCTAGTGCAGAATGCCACCATTGAATGAGTATTCCACCTCTGTAAGGTGCTCTGATCATCTATTCAGCTTGAGAGGTCCATCCAACATTTTCAGAGATACAGTTTCTCTTGTTACTAATGATATACCTGTTCAACCAACACACTGATTCACAGGGAGAAGATCTGGTGGTTGCTAGGTATTGTTTGTTTTGTTTTGGTAGCAGTGTATTTTGTTATCCTCAAGTTTATTTTAGTTTTGCAAACTTCACTGTTATTTCACATGAAGTGCAATAATCATACTGATGTGATCATAATCATAAGGTGATAGTGATGATGATGACAGACGATGATGATAGTGTCCAGGAACATTTGGAGTTGAGAAGTAGAAGGTGGGGGGACTTCCAGGGAAGAAATAGTGAACTAAAAGTGGAGCTGACAACCATGGCGGAATGAAGAGCCGGCAAGCAGACCAGCTCTACATAATTCGTCTTAGGACAAGGAGAGGACTTGAGATCACCCACAAGTGCTCCATACAGTTCCTCCCCATGAGGAGTCTGCAAGACAGTGGTCTCCAGTGGGTTTAGAGCTCTGGGAGATGAGAGAATAGCCATCTTGCTTAAACCACGGTCAGTGACTTCAAAAGGACACTGGATTCGCAGACTTCCTTTTCTAAGAGCTTTGGAAATTGCTTGTTAAGTGCCTTTCAGCTATTAGGAACCTTTGGATCGACAAGTTTTACAGCGCTGGGTGAGTTTCCTTCAATCCTTAGTGTTGTAAATACAAGTTTAAGGACTTAAAAAAAAATGGGGGGAGAGGGAATAAACAGCAAAAGAGTGATTAGAATTTTGATTTTGGAAAGTTACAAACAGACTAATGGCCCAAATGGATTTGAAATCAGTTTTTGGAATTAATTATAAGACTCCTTCCTGTGGGAAAATGCTTTTGTTTTGACTTTTGTTTTAAAAAAAAACATGATAGGATGAGACTCTGAAGGTTGGACACTAGAGGGAACTAGAAGGAAGTAAGGATTACAATTACAGGAGAAAAACACTTAAATCTGACTTATTAATACAGAATGAAGCAAAATGTTTTAACACTGGATATATTGAAGGATATTTTTGAACAATGGATCCAGAAGTTAACTTTAAGAGTGTCTGCCTTTATAGATAGACTGTGTTTAAAAAATCTTATGGAAGAGGAACAAGTTTTACCTAACAAGATTGAGACTGATCTGAAAGTGGATTTGACAGGCTACAAGAATGATATGGAAAAAGATGCTATACTGGACATACAACAGAAACTAGCTGATGTCTTAATAATTAAAAGGGATACACAAATAACAAACCAAAAGAGTGACCTGGATAACTTTCCTACATTGGATTTACAAAAGAGGCTTGTTAAAGCTTTGAAGAATTTTGTGAGAAGGGACAATGAAAACATTGAAAAGAAATCAAGTTCTAGGATGTTATTTGAAGGGACTAAAGATCAAGGTTGTTAAAAGTAAAAGGAAGGAACATAAAATTGGTTTATTCGATCAAGGTTAAAATAGATATGTTGTTATCTCTGGTAACCCTTAATGGACTTTTGCTGATTACGACTGAAATGACAAGGCTTTAAGGATTTCTTTATAGATAAGAGATGGGATATGGGAAGAAGAGATAATTTGTTGTATTTTAAGAGAAGGTGATAACAGAAAGAAAAATAGAAAATAAATAAATAAATAAGAATTTAGTAAAGAAAAAGAAATGAAATATATAAATAACTTCCCCCTTCCTCACAGCAAGTATAAACAGTTTTAGTAACTAAAATTGGTTTATTCGATCAAGGTTAAAATAGATATGTTGTTATCTCTGGTAACCCTTAATGGACTTTTGCTGATTAGGACTGAAATGACAAGGCTTTAAGGATTTCTTTATAGATAAGAGATGGGATATGGGAAGAAGAGATAATTTGTTGTATTTTAAGAGAAGGTGATAAGCTTTAAGGATTTCTTTATAGATAAGAGATGGGATATGGGAAGAAGAGATAATTTGTTGTATTTTAAGAGAAGGTGATAAGTTACTAAAACTGTTTATACTTGCTGTGAGGAAGGGGGAAGTTATTTATATATTTCATTTCTTTTTCTTTACTAAATTCTTATTTATTTATTTATTTATTTATTTTCTATTTTTCTTTCTGCACTTTCTATTTTTTTCTTATCTTTTTCATTATAACTTTTAATAAAATTACTATAAAAAGAGAGAGAAGTAGAAGGTAGAAAGAAGGTGAGCTGCAAATCAACTGAAAGGTCCGTGACAGGATGTGTTTTAGAAATTTGCATTACAAAATTGGAATTGAGCAGAACACACGCCTGTAAAAACTTGGGGTACAACCCTTGTGAAGGATGGGAGAAACTGGCTCCTGTTGGAGAAGGAGCATAACTCAACATGGAGCATATCCTTAGGACATAGAAGATTCCTGCTTCAGATTCCACTTTTGCCTGTTCAAGTAGAGAAACTCACTGATGCCCTATGGACCTGCCAACAATACTAAGCTAGACAGATCAATAGTTTGACATGGGATGTGGAATTTGGTTCTTCTGCTGCTAACCAGCTCATGGACCTCCCAGTCCCTGACAGTTCTGCCACTTCCTATTTCCATCCCAGTCCCTCATAGCTGCATTAATGGAAACTAGCTTTGAGGAACTGGCCTCAAAGTTGAACCCTATCTGAACCCAATCACGTTTCTGAGGTTGATTTCCCCACCACCAGCCCAGTCCGTGGGTGTTGCTTCTCAAGCTAAAATCCTAAAGACTTTAAAGATCCACTTTCCAACAACCCCATTTTTAAAGTAATTAAATGACTTCAGTGGTTCTGTTTGTCCAGTTCTTGCCAAATGATTCTGAACTGCTTTCTGTTTATTGATCCTTTTGGGCTAACACTTGCACGAATGAGAGACATGCCAAGCAGCGTAGTTCATAGAGCCAGCAGGTATCTCTGCAAGCTGTCACTGTAACCAATATAAATGGTATTTATTATCTATCCATATAAATAGTATTTATTATTCGTCCAGATTGTAGGCGTATGTTTATGAACTCTTTTCTCCCCCTGATCTCTCTGCAGGTATGTGAGTTCTGCTGTTGAGCGCCAAGGAGGTACAGCCATGAGAAAGGTAATTCCTCACTAAGTCAGGTAGTCTCCTTAGAGAAAGAATTCACTGCTGTGACCCATTGTATGGTTATCTCTGGAGTTTTGAATGAATGAGTCAGTCTGGCAATTCTGCCTGGCTTTCATGTGAGGGCTATTCTGCATTTCCTCAGTTTGCCTCTGTTTACTGCTAAAATGGAGGATTTGGGATCCTTGCCACTTTTTCAATACATAAGACATTCCTGGATGGATTTACTATGCAAATACATATTTAGCCAAGCACCTAGTCAACTGAGGAATTCAAATGGGAAGGAGCTGGTCACCACAAAATAAGAGGTAGAGTGTTCTATTTTGCTCACAGCTCCAATTTGTTTACCATGATTTGACTTCATGTTGCTTATGATAGAAAAGCTGCAGTTCACACAGATTTGGCAATTGGTATGGTCTGGCCAGGCAACTGAAGAGCAGAAGGAGATGGTGTTTGGTGCCCATCTGGTTGCCTTTGGGTAAATATGCCCTGAAGTCAAGCATGAACCTCTCTTCAAGCCTGATGTATTATAAACCTGGACAAAATGCAGCTGTATGTGGAGTAATATTTTCAAAGAATCCTCAGCTTCTCCATAAATGTCATACTAGAGACTGGAGATGGATCTAAAAATAAGGTCCAACTTTGGTAAATAGAATAAAGAGATTCAGTCCTATGGGGAAGCAATTTGGTATTCTTAGTCCTGGGAGGAGACAATTAAGAAGCAGAGTAAGATATCATTTAAATAAGAAGAGGCCAACAACCTTTTCAGATGCCACATAGCAGGATGTAATCTTGTGCAATGGTATGGGCACCAAAAAATATTAAAAATTGCCAACTCTCATTAGATGTTTGCAATCTCACCCCTCACAAGATTTCAACATTCTTGCTGAAAATTTCATGTGATTTGATACTCATAAGATTTCAGCCATTTTTCATTCATTTGTAAAGGGGAAGAAGGGTTTGAAGGTGCCATCTTGGAGATATCACAGGTGCTTAGCATAGGAAGGGACAATGTTGCCAATCCCTAACTTAATAGGGCAGAATTGTTCTCTGTTTCTGCAGAGGGCAGGACCCAGAGTATTAGGTAAAATCTGCAAGAAGGAGGATTTGGAGTAACCTTACAAAAGGTTTCTTGATAGCATGAGATAGGTGATGGGTGCAAGAAGGCTGTGTTGGTGCCTTTTTAGATATATTTCAATAGAAGCTTGTCAGAGGTGCTATAGTAGTACATCTTCTGGGTCAGAAGGAAGTATGTCTAGATTATACTGGTGTAGGCTTTCATGGCTGGTACCTGTTGGGCAGTGTTGGGCTTCAGAGTTTAGACATGGTCTTCAGGGTCTAGACCATGGTCACTAAACCCTGAAGCCAATGGGTGTAGATTACTTTTGGGGCTCCTTTCAAATGTATAATTCTCCAATTCTCAAACCCTTGAAAGGAATATTTTCAATCTTTCGCGTGAAAATGAGTGCATGCAATGTGGTAACCAAGGGGAAAACCAAGATAGAGAGCAATCATTATAAATCCTCAATAATGTTGATACAAGAAGCCCAAGTTGGCTGGATTTTGTCAAGCATTGATAAAATTGAATTAAATTCAAGACAATTCTAAAACACTCTGTCTTCTGCTTCTCAGTTTTCCCAGTGATTTGACACTCATCACTCAAAATGCTAGAAAACATTGTGAGGACAGATTTATCTCTTAGCGAGAAATTGGTAGACTACTGTTTATTAGAGATGTGTGAATCAATAAAATATCATGTCTTTTTTACTTTTGCACATTAATAAGGCAGTATTCCAGTCTGGGAGATTTTCTGTGATTAAAAAATATTTTTAATGGCTTACATTTCTAAAGTTCAAAGGCTTTTATATGTCTTCCACTAAGTTGTGTAATTGTTTAATATAATTTGCTCAAGGAAATTTCTCAGAGGTGAAAATCATCTGACTTTTCTTCTTTGACATGAAGATCTCTCCCATATAGGCTTTTTCTTAATTTAACTTCCCCTAATGTAAGCTCTCTTGAATATAACTATTGCTAATTTTGAGTAGCATATATTCTTTTCAAAAATAGTCATATTTTTGTTCAGATAAAAACAGATGTGAATTGCATTTTGAGTGGTAAGGTTCATGCCCCAGAAAAGTCCAGTTACCTCCAAATATTCATATTTGATCCCAGTGAAATCTATGGTGGGATTATTTTATAGCTCCAGGGGTGTTATGGAGCCTATTCGTCTGGTTTGTAAGAACTGGTTGTGGAATTGTCCTTCATAATATAACTAAGCACAAAAATCTCTCCTTTTCTGCCTGGAGAAGCTGGTTTATTCAGACAGAGCAGGAGGAAAAATTGGACTTTGTTTGCAGGGGGAATGCCAGAGCTCTGTCAGGATCGCATTCCAGTCTTTGTGAGGTACCAGCTTCTCCAGGCAGAGTGGGGGGAAATATGAGTTTATATCTTAAGAGAAGCTCTCACATTGGCATGGTTGTGATTCTTTTTACCTTTGTCAAAATAATGCCAGTTTTTTAAAGATGGATTGGTATGTCCTGATAATTAACTACTTCAATTCTTCTTCTTCTTCTTCTTCTTCTTCTTCTTCTTCTTCTTCTTCTTCTTCTTCTTC